CTCCCTCTGGCTCTTTCCTCGCAGGCTCCGTCCAAGGCGCATCCCACGTGGAGGCCGCCCTGCTTCCTGCCCTCCACCTCCCCCGTTCTTGCCTTTATCGAAGCACCCCGGCCTGCTTGGCGTGTCTTGGCCCTCCTCTTGGCCGCCATGGGGTGCCGCGCCAACCACAGGCCTGCATCCGCGCGCGTGCTCCCTCGTCCGCCGCTGATTGAGGCGCCAAGACATCCCAGCAGAGGCAACAAGCTCCAACCGCCTCCTTGGCCTTGGCGCCTTCTTTGCTCTTGTCTTTGCTGCTAGTCTGCCTCGGACGACCCATCACATCGCCAGACGCCTTATTTTCCGCCATTGTCACGCCTACGTACAGGACTCTCTTCTATATATACACCCGATCGATTCAGCTCAGGCCGATAGGCGCACTCTCCAGTTCGCCGCTCCACTAATCTTCCGGTGGCACATCCATAGTACATACTCTACATAGTAGGTCGGGGCTGCGGAGTCCCCTACTGTATGTACTATGTAGTACTACGGGGCGTTGGCTGGTCAGCCCAATTGCCAACCTCCCGTCGCTCACATGTGCCCGTCGCTCGCGGCCGGAGAACGCCGCACCAACAACGCCTACCAACGCCTACCAAACACCCGGGCGACCGGTCGCGAACGGGTAAAAATAAACGACTCACCCCGATGCACCTTGCTTACTCACCAGGCGCTGCACGCACCATCTGTTGTTCTCTCGCCAGGTAGGACCAGCGTACTACACAGGATATATGTAACCTGTCAGCCAACAATGCCTGTCCTCCCATCCTTCGCCTTGCCATCCACATAGCATACATATACACGGCCATCCGCGGTCCAGCTACATACTACGCCTTCCAACGCTTCTTCTGTCGTCCCTCTCTAGTATTTGCCTCATCCGCCCTAGCTCCCTCGCCCACCGACCAATTGCCTGATTCAGACTCCAGCTCGTCTTCCAGAACGCCTTCTCCCATCCATGCATCTGCACCAAGGCCCACCCTCGCCCTAGTCCTGCAATCTCTGCTTGGTCAACAGCAATCAAAAAGAAAGTATATTTCGCAAGAGTCATGTTTATCGGCGTGACCCTTGTCCGTATAAGCTATTTTTGGCGGCCTCTTCTTTTTTTTCGGCCAGAAAACTCTGAATGAGCTTTTTTTTACTCGCTTGAGAAACTTTTCTCGCTGGTAGGGATGCCGGTTAATAGATGTTCCTAGGCGCATCCATGTTTGAAGGATGAAACTAGGCGGTGGTTTGGTGTTGGGATAGAAACGGATAAACGACGAACATGCACTACCGTGTCTGCAGCTTATACGTAGTATAAGATGGCGAGTCATCGAACCCGTAGATGCTGGATGCCGGATGTTCCTGTGCACTCTCTCAATCATGGCTCTACATTTACCATGTAGATGTATGACTAATCAAGAAGCTAACATTCATAACTAACATTATTTAAGTACGATGAGTAATCATGGCTGGCTGACCTACTATGTACACTTGATCGAGCACTTTTACTGCTAACCAAGTAGACGCGATGCTAAGCCGCCAGGTCAGTCGTGCTCCCTACCTTTCTTCCCTATACCACACACTCTCTCGCAAGATGGGCGGATCTATACCCAGACGCGCTCTTCGGCCGTCCACAGGCCATGGCACAGTAAGCCCCCCGTCAGGTTTGAAGGGCCCTTTCCGATCTAGTTTCGACACAGGATGAAGTCGCTGACACGCCTCTTCCAAGGACCCGACCCTTATTCCTACACAGCCGGTCGATGGCTAAACAGGGACGAACTCCAGCGTACATCGCGTGCTTTAAACTTCGATTTCCCTCTTCTATGTGAGATGGCTGTAAAGTCATGCCGTGGAGCGTCCAAGGCTATCGGATATGAGAAGAAAGAGGGAGGATACAACCGAGTCTTTATCTTCACCATGGACACTGGCAGGAGAATCGTCGCAAGGGTGCCAACACAGGTCGCTGGGCCGCCGAAGTTAACGACCAATTCAGAGGTTGCCACCGTAGCTTATCGTACGGACCATCTTCATCCGTGGATTCTTTCTCGTTCCTACTAACGACTGCTAAAGTGCGGCTAAAGACAGCCCTTCCAATTCCCAATATACTCCTCTGGAGCGATGATCCGTCCAACCCAGTTGGGATCGAGTACATCATCCAGGAATATGCCGAGGGCGTGCAGTGCATGAACAGTGGCCCACATGGATACGTCAGCACATGCTTTGTAACAAGGACTTATCGCTTAAGTTGAGACATGGCGGCCCTGGATT